GGATTACAGGCATGGGCCACCACGTCTGGCTAATTTTTGTATTTTTAGTAGAGATGGAGTTTCTCCATGTTGGTCAGGCTGGTCTTGAACTCCAGACCTCAGGTGATCTGCCCACCTTGGCCTCCCAAAGTGCTGAGATTAGAGACCTGAGCTAACGTGCCCGGCTGATGTTTGTATTTTTATTAGAGACAGGGTTTCACTGTGTTGGCCAGGCTGGTCTCGAACTCCTGACCTCGTGATCTGCCCGCCTCGGCCTCCCAAAGGGCTGGGATTACAGGCGTGAGCCACCGCTCCTAACCTAGCGAATCATTTCTGAGACAAAGAATGGGACTTCGGAGGGTCTGAATCTGGCCTTGTCATCTGCATTAATCTTACCTAAGTCGTATGGGAAGGGAGGGTCCTGGCTGTGCCCAATTCCAGAGCACAGCAGGATGGGGTTCCCCTTTGCTGGTTTCCAGGCGCACAGAACTGAAGTCAGTTCAATATTGTCACCTGACAGCTGTGAACAGCCTCGTCTGTGTCCAGCTCAGCACTAATATTGTTCCTATTTCAGCCCCAGGTTTTAATAAATGTAAAATAATGAGGCTGGGGATGTGCACCTGTGGTTCCAGCCACTTGAGAGGCTCGGGGAGGAGAATCGCTTGAGCCCACGAGTTTGAGGCTGCACCACTGCACTCCAGCCTGGGCAACAGAGCTAGACCCTGTCTCAGGGAAAAAAAAAAGAAAAAAAAAGAGCCGGACGTGGTGGCTCACACCTGTAACCCCAGCACTTTGGGAGGCTGAGGTGGGCAGATCACAAGGTCAGAAGTTCAAGACCACCCTGACCGACATGGTGAAACCTCATCTCTACTAAAAATACAAAAATTAGCCGGGCGTGGTGTTGCGCGCCTGTAATCCCAGCTACTTGGAAGGCTGAGACAGGAGAATCGCTTGAACCCAGGAGGCGGACGTTGCAGTGAGCTGAGATTGCGTCACTGCACTCCAGCCTGGGCAACAGAGCTAGACCCTGTCTCAAAAAAAAAAAAAAAGAATAAATGCTTTTTGTCTTTTTTTCTTGTCCTTAGTGAGGGCAGTCAGTAGTGTCCCAGATGTGTTCTTTGCCTTCTGCCACTGCCTGGTGTAATTCTATGGCTTAGCCTGAGAAGGCTGCTGTGGAAAACTCTCAAACTTGGAAAACGTTGCTTCTTCCATTAGGACGAGGGGAAGGCGCACACACAGCCCACACACAGCCCCACGCCTTATTGTGAGGTGGGCGAAGGTGTGGATTGAAAACATTCATGAAACTAGCACCGACTTAGGCAGGGTGCAGAGTTTGTGACAATGTGTGACCCTGCTCCGTCTCCTGTTAGTATCTGCGCATCAGATGGATGCACATTCTGTAAAATGCGGCCCACAGTACTGAGAGCCACAGTACAGAGAAGCGGCAATTCCGATTAGGGGATTGACGAGCAATTTATCATGAGGATAATCGTGAACTGATACCTGTTTTCTGCTCGGGACCCGTTGTGGGATAAAAAACCTTCTAGATTAGTCTTTTAGAATCCAGCACTCACCCCTTTGTCCTTTAACACGGGCTGAAAGTGGTGATTTGACTGTGTTCTTATTTTTATTTTTTGAGACAGTCTCGCTCTGTCGCCCAGGCTGGAGTGCAGTGGTTTGGCCTCGGCTCACTGCAACCTCCGCCTCCTGAGTTCAAGCGATTCTCCTGCCTCAGTCCCCAGAGTAGCTGAGATTACAGGCGCGCCACCATGCCTGGCTAATTTTTGTATTTTTAGTAGAGACGGGTATAAGGTTAGCCGAGAGAAAGGATGAGAGAGAGACCCAAGGTCAGGCAAGGAAGTTTATTGAACCTACTGGCTGCTCCACTACAGACAGAGGAGGCAAGCCTGAGCTTACAACATGAGGGGTTTCTATGGGGGACAGAGACCCTGGGGTTGTTTGCTGGTTACTTTTGCCCCATATTACCTTGTGACATTTATTACGGGAGGGTGTAGGTAAAGTTTGTTTATGCTTCCCATGACCTCCCTCTGTGCGGTCCGGATGGTTTGTAATTGGGGTTTGCTTATCGCAGCAAGGTCTGATCAGTGAGAAGTCTTCACTGCAGTGAGAAGCTTCACTGGCTTCACTGCGTTGCCTAGATAAGGGCTTAAAAATGTAAAGAGGCGCTGGGCGCGGTGGCTCACGCCTGTAATCCCAGCACTTTGGGAGGCCGAGGCGGGCAGATCACGAGGTCAGGAGATTGAGACCACGGTGAAACCTTGTCTCTACTAAAAATACAAAAAATTAGCCGGACGTGGTGGCGGGCACCTGTAGTCCCAGCTACTCGGGAGGCTGAGGCAGGAGAATGGCGTAAACCCAGGAGGCGGAGCTTGCAGTGAGCTGAGATCCGGCCACTGCACTCCAGCCTGGGCGACAGAGCAAGACTGCATCTCAAAAAAAAAAAAAAAGAAAAAGAAATGTAAAGAGGCTTGAGGGAAGGGTGGATACAGAGAAGAGTTGCAGAGCATCTGGGGGAGGGGTGGGCAGCTTTTTTGAGGCAGTTTGTCCCTAACAACGGGCTTTCACCACGTTGGCCAGGCTGGTCTTGAGCTCCTGACCTCAAGTGATCCACCTGCCTCAGCCTCCCAAAGGGCTGGGGTTACAGGCATGAGCCACTGTGCCCAGCCTCAGCTGCGTTTGTATTCAGACCCCAGGTTAAGGGACTTTGGTTGAAGCGGGTGTGGCACCTGAGGTGGGACCAGTGTGCTTCATGCCATTCGTATGTCTGTGGATGAACACCGCTTTGCGATGCAGATTCCCACCTGATACTTCTCAGATTTTTGGATACGGCTGGATGGTGGATAGAATAAACTGCTTGTTTGGGGCATCTATGAAGATGACTTGGCAGTTTTCCTTTAATGTGAATTATGAGTTCATACCATTTTTGTTTGTTTGTTTTGAGACGGAATCTCACTCTGTTGCCCAGGCTGGAGTGCAGTGGTGCCATCTCGGCTCACTGCAAGCTCCGCCTCCCGGGTTTAAGTGATTCTCCTGCCTCAGCCTCCTGAGTAGCTGGAACTACAGGTGCCTGCCACCATGCCTGGCTAATTTTTTTTTTTTTTTGAGACGGAGTTTTGCTTTTGTTGCCCAGGCTGGAGTGTAGTGGCGCAATCTCGGCTCACTGCAACCTCTGCCTCCCAGGTTAAAG